CGACTGCCCCGAGGGCGCGCCTTTTGGCCCGGGTGGCACCGCGAGGCCGATCCGGGTGGGCGCTCCCTTTTCTCCCTTTGGGGTCTCCCGGGCAGGCCCTGTCCGCCCTTCCTGTCTTCTTGGGCTTCTTTGGTCTCTCTCTTGGCAATTGGACATTTTGTAATTTTAGAACTAGAAACCGTGCGATCCAGTCGCCCGATTCCCTCGTTTTACAGAAGCAACTGAAACTCAGAGAGGTTTTGATTTGCTCAAGGTGACACAGCTTGTCACTGGCACAGCTGACCGTAGTCTCCAGACTTTCAGCACAAGGCCTTTTGTACAGTACATCAATGCGTGTTGAAATCCTTGTTATTTCGCTATCTCGCATTCCTTTGATCTCAAGAGTAGAGAAGGTAACAGCTTCAGCTTCAGAATCGCAGCGAAAATTCTCCTGCCACTGACTGGCTGTTGTGACCTTGAGCGAGTAAACATAACGGGTCCCACGTGAGCCGCGGGTAATGAGACCTCACAAGGTTCTTGTGGTGGTGGTGTTCACAGTGCCTGGCGCACAGGAAGCAAGAACTGGTAGCGGCTGCTAGCGTTAGGGGCTCGCCACGGAGTGGGCTCAAGATGCTGGCACACTGGGGAAGGATCTGGGAAGGACACCTGGGGAAGTCAGAAACCCAGAGTTCCAACTCCAGACCTGCCGCTAACTTACCATGAGCTTCACATTTCTGTTTCTTTTTTTTTTCCCTCATAAAATCTTTTAAAAGATTTCCTGGATGCACTCTCTACCAACTTCTCTTCCTTGCTTTGGCTACCCTGGTTTCAAGGGAGGCTGCCAAGTGTATTCTTTTAGCTGGGCATGGCCCTCCTCCAGTTATACTGCTGTTTTTTATCTAAGGATGAATGAGAGACTGGATGTTGATGAGGTCATTATCAGATTCTGCCACAGCTCCCAACTGAGGGAATCTTGCCGTAAGTTATATGTTGGGGAACTGTTGGATTCCGGTTTTCATCGAAGAGAAATTTTTTGAGTGTTCATTATGTGCTAGGCAGTGTTATACGTGCTTTAGCTGCGGTATCTATCATATTTAATACCCATAGAAGCCCTATGGGGGAAGGCACCATTTTATACCCATTTTTCAGATGAGAAAACAAAGGCTTGGTAGTAAGAAATACAACAATTTTATGCCAGTGAAAAATTAAAACACAAATCTTTCTAAGCAGGAAGGTTTCTGGGCATGGCAACAGCGAGAAAATTAGAAGTAGCCTTAGACCAGCACCCAGCACCTTGGATTGTAGACCGCTCATTACCTTCAGCCACAACTTGTGGTAGAACATTGGTCCAGGCACAGTCTTTATGAACCGTAGTTTTCTCTTGAGTAAAATGAAGATGTTTTTTACTGAAGAGTTTCCAGTATTTTCCTCACCTCAGTAAACCTGGTGTTTTTGAAGTTTTTGTTACCGCATTTAGTGTAATAGTAACAGCTTGCTTCTTTGCTTTGTTAATCAAAGACACGCATAAATACTTATTGGAGCTTCTGTTCTGCCTGAGACAGGTAGGATGCCCACTGACCTGATAAAACTAGTCCACAGCTAAGAAGAATGGCAACTTCTGTAGCCTTACAGGGATGCCCGCCATTCCAGTAGGCTTTCCAATACGGACTGTGAAGCGCCCAGTATCTGGTAATGTGCCAGTGACACTGTGTTGGCAGCCCTGGATTAGACTAGGCTTAAGAACCATTGCTGCTCTCTAAAAGTCTATGGTTTCATGAGGACCCTGAGAGGAAACAGCTGGTACTTCGTTTAAGCGAGGGGCTTGGATTAGGTGATACTTAAGGTACCTTCCTGTTCTAAAATTTTGTCTTGAATAACACACTCTTCAATGGAATGGGGAACATTCAGACAAACACCAGCTTTCTGTAACTATTTGGAGGAAAGTCAGAGACAGTTGACACTGAGAGGAAGAGAAACTTCAAGAGGTTCAGCCAGTTAGTAAGGTCCCTAGAAACCATGTGTTGTCCTGAGATGAAGTTCAGGCCCTGGCGGTGGCTTTCCAGGCTTAAATTATGGTAACAGTCCATTTGAAATCACAGCTTTCAAATTCATCTGTGAAGATTTGGGCTTAAAGTCAAAGACCTGAGTGTGCATTAGTATGTACTAATTCCAGTTTCATTCTCACATTCTTGGAGAAATAAAAAGATGAATATTCAGGTAAAAAAAAACTGAGGTTAAGAGAATAGTTACCTTTATCACTTTGATGCCTCATGTTAACTCCTTTGAAAATATGAATTTACAAAAAACAAATAGAAAAATCCTGAGTCCATTTGACTTCTCACAAGTTAAGACTTGTTCGTTTTTTTGCTTTTCACGTTTCCTACTCTTCTCCCTCCCCTTCCTTGCTCCCAAAGAAAAACAGTTATAGGGAAAATGGAGAAATTTGTCATATAATGTAGTGTTTATATTATGATTCCGTTCTAGTTTCATCTGAAGATATTTTTTTTTCCCCCATATGAGGGCCATGTCAGTTTTCAGGAGGAACATTGGTGAGATATTTTTATGTTGGGAGTTAGGTTCTGCTAAGATTTAAGGTGTTTGTGCTTTTTATTTTTAGCATATTCTGTAAGTAGGTTTAAGTACTACCTGCTCTTTTCTGATGTTTTGACTGAGGTTTTTTTGTTTTTTGTTTTTTTCTGTGTATATGACTCAACTCTTTAACTTAAACATATACTTACATTTAGGAAAACTAATACACGACAAAAGTACTACAAAGAAGATAATTTTAATTAAAGTAGGTGATATGTAGCTGTCCCTTTTTTATATTAGATATGTAATTCTAAAATTAGGTTAATTGAATATTTATAAATTGAGTGGTATTTAAAGTGAACTAAGGAATCTTATCTCATTGGTTAAGGGAACCCCTGACTTTCTGAATCCTTTGGTAATGTAAATAATTAATGCCTCCTGTAGCATCTTAGTGATTTGGGCACAACTATCCAGAAATATACTGTTCTCTAAAAGTCAGTATAATTGAAAGGATTAAGGGAGCCTGCTGAGGATTGCAAGAAGTTAAGGAAAATGATGCCCTTCCAGGCTTAGAAACCTGTCTTTCCATAGTAAGGATGGCATTCAGGGTCGATCCCACAGATACTCCTCAGTCCTTCGGAGTTGAGGCAAACCTGGGATAGCCTACAATCCCAGATCTTTCTCCTGATCTGATTCAGGCTTGAGGAAGTGATTACCTAGGTTATGGAGCACCTTCCAGGGTACGGACATATTAAATACCTCAGCCTCAAGTAGAAGCAGTAGCTTTCCCTAGGCAGGTATTGTTCCCTTTTTACCAAATGAATGATTATTGTTAGATTTTTAAAAATTCCTAGAAATTCTGTTTCATTTCCTGGATTGCATGGTAAGGGGATTGTTGTTTTTGTTCTAATTTTTAAATGTATATTTACTTATTTTTGAGATTGGATTATGAGACTGGCCAATTTTTGCGTTTTTGGTAAAGACAGGGTTTCACCATGTTGCCCAGGCTGATCTCAAATTCCTGGGCTCAAGTGATCCACCTGCCTTGGCCTCCCAAAGTGCTGGGATTACAGGCATGAGCCACAGCGCCTGGCCTGTTGTTGTTTTGATACATTTGAGTTTGCCTACATCTGCTACCAGCAGGTTCTATCCTAGTAGAATTAACCAGCAATAACTGGGGCCTCATGAATAAATGAAACCCGCAGACATGTAGGCAGCTTCATAGCCTTCAGTGTCAGGGCGTACTCAGCGATAGAGTTCAAATAAATAGTCAAACTGACTCTGTTTCCTATTTCTGCTGGACATGATTGAAACTGAGAATTGAAGTGGCTCTAGAAGAAGATTGCTAAAGGGAAGAGAGACCTAAGAAAGCCTCTATAATCAAAGATTGGAAGATCTGTTCTCTCTAGGAAGGCGATGGGCCAGCTGTGATAACAGTCTTGTGACAATCACTGTCTTTTGCCTAGTCCAATTAGCCCATGGCTTAATGAACTGACTTGAAGCTAGGCTTGTGGCTTCTTATGGCTGAATTTCTGGTCCCTTACATATTTAGGAATTCCTATGTGGGTTGAGACTCATTCACCTCGGGAGAGAGGTGATAAGAAAAAAGGGCAGCCAGAGGACATGATGAAGCACTGCCACCTTGTCTGCGAAGTCTCATGGATTGTGTAAATTCCACATCAGCTTCACCTCAAAAGCCAGAGGCCACTGTGGAGAATTCGAGGGAAAACACTGTTTGCAACATGCTTTTACTAGCGTGTCTATAGGTATGAACAGTCAGGACAATGTCCTTCCTTCTATGCTGTCTTTAATCTGGTTGAAGACTGAGGGGAAATACAGAACAAGTTCTTTTCTTCTAACTGGCAGATCCCTTACACAGAATACACTGATGTATCATATATGAGTCAAATAAAAGAAGCTTAATCCCACCTATTCTTTCTGCCCTCCTCTATCCAGTGAGGGACAAGAAGGTGGTCCCCAGCCCAGAGGATGTCAAGGGTTACAGTACTCAACCCTCTAGCTATGGATGTATTGACCATGGGGTAGGGTAAGGGGGAAGTTCAGCCTGTGGCTTCCAGACTGGCCCTCATGCTTTGTGGGTTCTGTAGATGGGATGGCAATGGCACAGACTGGCAAGGGCATCCTACTACGTCAGGTGGTTCCAAGGGAGGGCCAGAGTGCACGTCCTTTTATGGTGCTGACTAGCCCTGACCAGGCTCTTACAAAGATTGGCTGGACTTCCATTGGTAGGCCACATATGCCCAAATAACCCAGTAGTCCTCTTGAACCACAAGATACACACAAAAGACAAATATTTAAGTTCTGGGGGTTACAGTAATAAACATGCAATGTCCCTGACTTCGTGGAGAGACAGAGTATAAGCTAATAAATACATATGTAATACGAAGAAAGAAGAAAGCGGGTGGAAGTGGTTGGGGTGTGTTTGTTTAGATAGTGGGGTCAAAGAAGGCCTTTATAAGAAGGTAGCATTTGATAGAATACATCAGTGGTTGGAAGGCACGAGCTCTGCCAAGATCTGGGAGAAGAAGGTTGCAGACCGAGGAAACTTTACGTGGGGGTTGGCTGGCATCTTGAGGACAGGAGGGCCAGGTGTGGCTGGAGCAGCCGGGCTGGGAGGGAAAATGGAGGAGGGAAGGTCATAGAGGCACTCAGGTCCCTGGAAGGGAGGGGGATTTTATTAATGGTGTAAAGGAAAGCCATTGGAGGGTTTTAAGCAGGTAAATGATGTGTTCCCATTCGTGTTTTTGTTTGCTTGTTTGTTTGTTTTTGGTTTTGTTGCTTTTTTTTTGAGACAGGGTCTCACTCAGTCGCCCAGGCTGGAGTGCAGTGACGCGATTTCAGCTCACTGCAGCCTTGCCTCCCAGGTTCAAGCGAGATTACAGGCATGAGCCAATGTACCTGGGCCCCATTCATGTTTTTAAAAAGATCTATTTGCTAATTGAAGAGTAGGTTGTAGAGGAAAATGTGGTGGTGGGGGGCAATTCTGGAAGCAGGGAGACCAGCTGGATAGAAGGCTATTACAATCATCCTAGTGCAAGAGGAATGTGGCTTGGGTAAGAGAGAAGCATTTACTCCTGTGTTGAAACCGCAGTATACAATATACTTAAATTGCACCATCTTGCTCTTAAGAGCTCCAGATTTGGAATGATTTAGGAGACAGTCTTAGGACCAAGTGGAAAGAACCTTATTTTAAGAGAGCATTTGATTGCAAAACTCAGGCCCCACCAAAAGGCTGTTTCCTCAGACCATTAACAAAAGTGAACTGTTCTGTGGGAGCTGATTTAGCCCTTGAAGTAGCAGCACTCTCTAGGAGAAGAATTGCAGTGAGGGGCCCTTGGAGGCACCCACAAGAAAAGCCCCTCTAGCATCGAGCACATGGGTGGTAAAGAAAGACCTGTCTGGAAGTAAACATTCCTATCGTAGTTTGGGCTGCTGCTTCTGTGTCCCTGAGACTTCATGCTCTTCACCTGCCCTGCTGGAATGCACTCCCTTTCCAATGATGGGTAGGAATCCCTTTTATTTGAGGACTCCCAGTATAAAGTTCTCAACTCTAGCCGTGCTCAGAGACCCCCTGGGAGGCTGTGCAAAGGCAGAACATGGTAAGGTGAATCCAGAGACCTGCTCCCCCAACCTCTGCTGCTCACTAGCTGGGAGCATTTAATGTGTTCTCATGTCTTCTCATTGCAGTTGCTCAGGGTCTTCCAGGTTATATACTACATTCCTTGACATTCATATTTTTTATAGGTAGCTGCCAGCCCTTTGATATCCCTGGGACTGCACCTCCCCCTATGCTGCCCTTGGCCAGAAGTCATTTGCTTCTCAGATATATCAAAAAATGTGCCTCAGCATTGGTTGCTTTGTGTGCTCATAGCCTTGGTTGTGAATTCTCCTTTTGGCTCTTGTGCATGGAAACAGCATGCAAGAGCACATTTTTCATTTTTAGTATCCTGTGTTTAACAGAGAGCCTCTAGAACAGCGGTCTTCAACCTTTTAGCAACAGGGACCAGTTTCGTGGAAGACAATTTTTCCACGGGATAGGAGTAGGGTAGGGGGTGGTGTGGGGATGAAACTGTTCCACCCCAGATCATCAGGCATTAGATTCTCATAACAGGCATGCAGCCTAGATCCGTAGCATGTTCAGTTCACTGTAGGGTTCATGCTGCTGTGAGAATCTCATGCCACTGCTGATCTGACAGGAGGTGGAGCTCAGGTGGCAGTGATCACTCGCCTCGCCCACCACTCACCTCCTGCAGCCCTGTTCCTAACAGACCATGGAGTGGTCTTGGTCCTTGGCCCCAGGGTTGGGGACCCTTGCTCTGGAGGTTCCTTCTTGTGGTCAACCTGGATTCTTGTATTTGCATCTTGGACTCTCAAATTCTGCAAATTTTTTGATATATTTAGAAACATATGCATTTCATCATAATGTGAAGAGTAAAGATGATTTGACTGTCACAGTTGAATACACTGGGTCCTTGTGTAATTTTGCTGCTTCGTGTGGCCACTGGAGAACCCTCCCTTTTATAGAGTTGTGTTTTGGGAGATGGCGAGCATTCCCAGGATCCTTTCCCAAGTCTGTCTTCACTTTTCTCCAAGTTAATGCTAAGGATATTTCAGGCCAGGACCAGGGACTTGTCTGAGCATATTCAGTGTTATTCCCTACATGGATGTGATTGTTTACTAGTTGTTACTGGTTACTTAGTCCTTCCCCAACTTTGGTGTAGCAAGTTGTTTTAGCTTCATTTCAGGTTTTTCAGGAGAAACAACTGAGCACACTCTCCTTAAAGGAGTCAGGGGTTGGGTGTAAAACCCATATCTGTGTGTACCCATAAGTGTTCCTTGTTCCTGTTTCCTGTTGGACAGATGTGGAGGTGACACTCTATCTTGAATCCAGAAGAACTTACGACTTTCATTTCACTTCATTTCAAATCCAAATACAGCAACGGCCACAGAAGAAAATGAACATCATTACTTTCTAGTTTTCTTGTGGCATTTACATTAACCCTCTGTAACACAGAGGGTTAATATATATATCTCTCTCTCTCAGTTGAGTTGTATTATATTATATATTATATATAACATACATATATATTTAGGTATCTACATCTGTCTTCAGCCAAATTTCTCCTCGCTGGAGATGTGAAGATCTGTCCATCTTCACAGAATCCCACCAATGAAAACTCAGTATATCCAAAATTGAACTCACCACCACTTCCCTGTACAAACTTGCTTTTTCTCTAGTATTTCTTGTCTGAGTAAAGGGCCTCACTATCTCTCCACTTACCAGAAACCTTTACATCATCTTCTTGTTTTCCTTGATAAAATGAATCTGTAAAGCCTGTTGATTTCATTTCCTAATCTGTTATTTCTCCCACCTCTCTTAGTCCATTTCTTGTTTAGATTGCTTCAGTGGCCTCCTTAGTGGTTCTTCTGCTTTCAATCTCTTCTTTAATATTGCACACTACCTACAGAATGTTCTTTCTAAAATACAAATGCATTTCTGTCACTTCCTTATTGAGCTGGTATTCCCTGTTTGTTGCTGTAGGTCTATTCTCAGTCCTTCTTTTCTCCGCTTGGTGCCTGGAAGCTAACCTCTATGGACTGCATTATATGGGCTTCTTTGCTGTCTGTCTTCCTGTTGGGTTTGGCTGATTCAGGGCACTGAGGGGACAGCGGGAGAGACAGGTTGAGGTACCCATACCTTCACCCTGCATTCCACGGGAGTCCTGGCAGTGACTGCATTCCTTTAGACTACTGTCCTCCTAGTTCCAATGACTCTAGTAACATGGGATCCTCCTTGCCATTTTGGAACTTGGGCTGCTGAAAGCTTCCTGCTGTTGTTGGTGCCTGAGAACTTCATAGTGCCTTATTATTAGTGCCTTAAGCTTGTCCATATCTTTACTGAACTATTTTCAGTTAAATCCTTTTGAGTGTCAATGGTTTCTTGCTGAGACTGATACTTATCTAAAATCCTCCAGTGCTCTGCTTTCAAGATGGAGTCCACATGGTATAGTAGTAGTCATGGTTTACCACTCCAGCTACAGGTGTTCAAATGTCTTCTTGTATCCCTGTACCTTCCATCCATGCTCCCTCACCAATATAAAAATCCAATATCTCTAAACTGAATTAATTCCATAATTTATCTCATCTTCATGATTCTGTACACACTTGCTGGTCCTGTCCACCCCCACTCCCACCTCCTAATTTTTGTCTTATTGCCTCTACCTCGCCCTTCAGCCCTTTACTCATATTTTTGTCTTTTCTGGGAAAGTGCCCATAATTCTGTCTTCTGCTTCAGAATTGAAGAAGTACTTGTTCTCTGTGCTCTTATAGTGCCCTCCAATGTCATAAATATTGAGCTATAGTATTTTCTGTCTGTCTCCTCCTTGGTTGGAAAGACTGAAGGACTATAATTATATAGGAGAATTTATTGGTCATAGAACGTTAAAACTGCTACTGTTACCTCCCTGAAAACTTTTTTTAAAAGAAGATTCTTGGCAATTAAACAGTTAGAAAATGTATTCCATTTTCCATCTTTCAGTTCCTAGGTGTAAAGCTTTGAAGGAAAAAGATTTAATTAGAACATCTGAGTCAGACTGTTACTGCTACAATCAAAATTCCCAAGTGGAGTGGAAATACATATGGTCGACTATGCAGGTAAGGGCCTACTTTTAAATCATGTCTTAGGGACAGAGAATTACCATGTTCTAGGGACAGGAAATGTACCATTCCAGGAATAGAAAGTATTTTTGGTATGACCCAGGTCTGTGTATCACTATGAGAGCTGACTTGAGGATCACACACAGTGGTTCAATGGGTGAGCAGTGTGAGAAGAGGACACTAACTCCTTCATACTCTCCCTCAGCCCCTCCCAAGCCACTCCCAATGAATATACTATCTAAATGTATGCAGCATATCTGCTGTTCAGGCAGTCTAAAGACAACATGTTCCTCCTACTTTCCAAAATTGCTATCCAAAGCCCCTCCAAATAGAAATTCTGGAATAACCACTGATCCCAAATATGGCCAAGATAGCAGTTGCTCTCAATTGCCTAGTACTTTCTTTCATTCAGCATTTAACAAATATTTATTGAGTACGTATTAAGTGCCAGGAACTATTTCTGGGCTCCTAGGATACATCAATGAACAAAACAGATCCCTGCCATTGTGGATATTTACATTATCTAGGATGGGGAATAGTAAACAATAAATGTAATAGAGATTAAAATGGTAAAACTAGTAAGTACTATGAAAAAAGAAAATGTAGAGTAATATCAATGGGATGAGAGAAGTGGGAGCAAATTGGCCAGGGTAGTTCTCATTGAGAAGGTAACATTTGAGAAAGATTTCAGTGGAGTGAGTTACCCAAGAAGGTACTGGGGGGAAGGGTGTTCAAGGCTGAGAGAATAGCTGGAACATTGTATCAGCAAGCATTTGATGTCCATTGATGCCATTGCTGATAATATGCACTACTTTGATCACATGGTTAAGGTAGTGTTTGTCAGGTTCTTCCACTAAAATTAGTATTTTCTTCCCTTTAATGAATATTTTGAGGTGATAATTTGAGACTGTGTTGATAACCTCTTCCTCATCAAACTTTCTTCCCTTAGTTTATCATTCATTGATGATGCTTTACTGAATCAATAATCATGATGATGTTTATCAAATGTTGATTTTTCTATATCCATTCTTTTTTTTTTTTTTTTTTTTTTTTTTGAGACTGGGACTCACTCCAGTTGCCCAAACTGAAGTGCATTGGTGCGATCTTGGTTCACTGCAGCCTCAACCTCCCGGGCTCAGGTGATTCTCCCACCTCAGCCTCTCAAGTAGCTGGGAGTACTTGAAAGGTGTGCACTGCCACACCTGGCCTTTTTTTTTTTTTGTAGTTTTAGTAGAGACGGGGTTTTGCCATGTTGCCCATGAGTCTACTGAACTGCTGGACTCAAGCGATCTGCCTGCCTCAGCCTCCCAGAGTGCTGGGATTATAGGCGCAAGCCGCTGTGCCTGACATCATTATTCCATTTACATTCATTGGCATTCTACTATAAGGAAGAGATTTTCCTCCTCCCATTTATTTATATCCATGTAGTCTCACACATTGCCAGTTATTTCAGGAAACTACAATCCATTACTCTCATTATTTATTTTGATACTCAAATTGTCCTGGATTTAACCAGTCAGAGCCCCTTCAACTAGCTCCTGTGTCCTTCTGCACGTGCCTAGCATTTTTGAGCACTACTTTACTTTCTAACAAACAAGATGTTCTAGACTTGTGTAATATCATAGACTCAGCTCTGGAATCATACATTTTTTCCAAGGAACAGTCAACATTAGGTGTGTTCATTGCATATCGTCATGTGTGTACACACACATACACACCCATACACCTGCACATACATCTGTATCTACCTATTAGAAACTGTGAGTTCTGAGATCTCCAATACCACAGGATTCTTGCTAGTTTTCCAGTTTTCGTATTTGTAATTCCCTTCTCTGATAATGAGAAACTTGATTCCCGTTTCCTCAAATATATTTATTTATTTGCCTAATCCCAGAATACACTAAAAGTAGTTTCAGAATTGCAAAGTCACACCATTGCAAAACACAAACCTAATAACAGGAGTTCAATATTTATTTATAGTGTTATCTAGATGTGTATAAGAGACAGGTTATACTATTCATTCAAAATATAGTTTGTTTTTATTTGTTTCAATTTCAGGGTTTTCACCCATCCTGGTCAATTTTATCATTTTTATTTTTAT